AGAGTCCAGGGCCAGGAGGCCGGGGGCGGGGGACGGGGAGTTCACACTCCGCAGGCACCCGAGCAGCGACCCTGGACCCATCAGGATTAGCCCATCACTGCAGAGCCTGGGTTGAGACATGCTGGTGGTTTAACCCCCCCTGTACCCTATGGGGAAGGGGCAGCTCCTGCAGCAAACCCTGGGCAGGAGCCAGGGTCACAGGAACAGGACAGGGCTGGTGGCCAGGACCAGCTCAGCTGCCCCCAGCCCTCCGGGGCTCAGCCTGCTCTGCACAGAGGCTGGAGCCGAGTGCCCATGGCCGCATGCCCGGCTCTCACAAGCTCTGGGGTCCGGCTGAACCACAGATCCCGAGGGGCATCAGCTCCCACCACAGCCCCGGGGACAGCCTGTTCCAGAGATTTCTCCCTTTCCCACGGCAAGGCACGCAGGAAACGCTGTCCAGGGGAACTTTCTGCAGTTTCCTTCCTTGTGGGGTCTGTGGGGAAAACAGGAGAGAACAGAGGCTCTGCTGCAGGGCAGTGCTCTGCCCCACTCCTCAGCATCACATCCCTGGGCAGGTGGGTCCCTATGAGCACAGGCTCCGGAGTGGGACCCATCCCGGCACAGCACCAGGCAGGGCCAGCACCTTTGCTGGCATGGGGGACCGAGGAAGGTCCCCCTGGCCACCCCGGCACTAGACATACTGCTTTTTGGAGGCTGAGCTCTCAGGCCGACTGCCCAGCTTCCCCTCTGGGGCGAGGGCTTCAGTAGTCCTGGGGGCGTAGGGGTCCGAGAGGGGCCTGCTGTCCCTGCCCAGCACCAGGTTCTCCTCGTTGCGCAAGTTGGCCCAGTTCTGCTCGCTGGAGAGCTTGTTGTAGGCCTGGTAGGGCGGCGTGTGGCTCTCAGCCATGGGCAGGAATGAGTAGTGCTTGGGCGCGTAGGGACCAGAGGCCACATCGTCGGCAAAGGTGTCCTGGCTCAGGGCGACTGGCCCCGATGCCTTCTTGATGTTGCTAAGCAGGTTCTTGCAGCAGAGGTGGAAGAGCTCCAGGAGGTTCAGGATTAAGGAGATCAGACCCATCACCAGCATGAAGATGATGAAGATGCTCTTCTCGGTAGGGCGGGAGATGAAGCAATCCACCTGATGGGGGCAGGGGTCCCTCTTGCACACGTAGCGGGGCACCATGGAGAAGCCGTACAGGTACCACTGGCCAACGAGGAAGCCAGCCTCAAAGATGCTCTTGCAGATCACACTGGTGATGTACGTCCACATCAGCGCCCCTCGGATCTTGAGCCGCCCGTCCTCTGCCACATAGATCTTGGATATCTTCTTCTCTACGGCTGCCAGGGCCTGCTCGATCTTCGGGTCCTTGCTGTGGATAGCCCGAAGCTCGCTCTCCTGTTGCTTCAGCTTCTCCTCCTTCCGGGAGAGATAGACAACGTGGCCAAGGTAAATCAGGGTTGGGGTGCTGACAAAGAGGAACTGGAGCACCCAGTAGCGGATGTGGGAGATGGGGAAGGCCTTGTCATAGCAGACGTTGGTGCAGCCCGGCTGCTTGGTGTTACACACGAAATCCGACTGCTCATCCCCCCACACCGACTCCCCAGCCAAGCCCAGGATGAGGATGCGGAAGATGAAGAGCACAGTGAGCCAGATCTTCCCGATGACCGTCGAATGCTCCTGGACTTGGTCCAGCAGTTTCTCCAAGAAACCCCAGTCGCCCATCTTCTAGGGAACCTCCTGCCTCTGCCAGTGGAGAGAGGAGGAGGGGGGAGCCAAATCAATTCTGTGTTTCCACGCTGGAGAGCACAGGGCAGACGGGGCTACCTAAACCCCAGGCTTCCTCGGGACACGGCTGCTCTGCAGAGGGTCCCAGGAACCCCAGTGAGGAGCAGCCTGCACCCTGGGGAGGGAGCCAGGCAGGAGTTTTGAGCCCAGGAGTGCTCCTCCTACACCCCACTGCCCGGTGCAGAAACATGGGGCTGGGGGGGAAGAGGCAGCACATGGATTCACCTCCCCCAGCAGCACCCACTGCTCGTGGCTGTCCCACCTTCCCAGGACAAAGCCCACGGCACAGGGTTCACTGGTTTGGGACTGCCCTGGGGAGGTCAAGGCCACAGCACAGGGGGGCTCACAGAAGCAGCCCCGCTTTACCTCTCCTGCCCCCGGCTTTATCTAAGGGCAGAGAGCAGCAGGGACACGGGAGGGGAAGCACAAACCCCAGGGTACAGCAGCCACCCCAATGCCTATTCAGGGCTCCCCCCAAACTGAAGGGACAGCCTCCAGCCGGGTCCCTTGCTGTAGGGCGACAGCACCCCAGTGTGCTCCCCCTTGCCCAGGGCTTTCCCCAGCCTGGGGACCCCCAAGGCCACTCACCACACACGGACGTGATGCTGCTCCGGGGATGCCGGGGTATCTCAGCCTCACCCCCGGCTGCCGGCGGGCTGAGCCCGCATCCTCCCCGCGGGAGCTCAGCCCTGAGACCCGGCTGGGAGAGAGGAAGCGGCCACAGCCCTGGCTCCTAATTAACCTCTGCCAATTAAGCAGGCAGAAGTGCCGGCTGGGCTGTTAAAGGGGCACGCAGCCGCTCGGGAGCAGCAAGCGGGTCCCAGCGTTGGGTGTCCCCTGCCCCTAAGCGCGTTGTCCCCGAGCGGTGCCCGGAGTCCCGCAGCCCCCGGGGGTTCCGGGCGCCGCTCACTCACCTCCGCCGCCCCGGGCACGTCCTGCC